CCACATAAATCTTGGTTGTTTTAGTTGCTCTGTGATGCTAAACATTGAGTGTCGAATTGTATCGGATGTTGTTTTGATGCTTCATTGGTATAGAGACTTAAATGGAAGATTTTGTAGTTTGGGGATATAATGTAGTTTCGTTTTTTTGCAGAAATTCTCGGCGTTTTTGCTTCTCCAGCTTTCGTTTCAGAGTCTTGGTGTTGTTTATGGAGATTTGGGAACTTCTCCTCTATATGTTTTCTATAATACATTTCCTAGAGGGATCAAAGACCCTGAAGATATCATTGGAGCTTTATCGCTAATCATATATTCCCTCACACTCATCCCTCTCCTCAAATATGTTTTCGTTGTATGCAAAGCAAACGATAATGGTCAAGGTAGTATTACATTTTACGGCTTCTTATATTCTGATTCAGCGCTTTTGCTATGCGTATTGTTTTATTGGATTGTCTCTTGTTTGGTGAATAGGTGGAACATTTGCTCTCTATTCTTTGCTCTGTAGACATGCAAAAGTTAGCACAATTCCGAACCAACACCGTACTGATGAAGAGCTTACTACTTATAGTCGTACTACATTTCATGAGCATTCTTTTGCTGCAAAAACCAAGAGATGGTTGGAGAAAGGTATCTCTAGGAAAAATGCGCTACTTATTCTCGTTCTTGTTGGTACGTGCATGGTGATTGGCGATGGAATCCTTACTCCTGCCATATCTGGTAATGTATTATTCATTGACCTTCCAAATATATAAATTTTGTTTTTTCTACCGGGAAAGTGTTTCATCGTGTTTAATCTGTTGCAGTTCTATCCGCTGCGGGTGGGCTCAGGGTAAACCTTCCTCACATAAACAACGGTATTAAGTACTACGTTAAATCACTTCTTTTATATACGGTGCCCATTTATGTGACTGTTGATTATTGATCAATTTAGGATGTGATTGTTATTACAGGTATTGTTGTTGTTGTTGCGGTTGTGATATTAGTGAGCTTGTTTAGTGTACAACATTATGGAACAGACAGAGTCGGGTGGCTTTTCGCACCCATTGTATTTCTCTGGTTTCTCTTTATTGCAAGTATCGGTATGTTCAATATATGGAAACATGACCCAAGCGTTTTGAAAGCTTTTTCCCCGGTTTATATATATCGATATTTTAAAAGAGGAGGCCAAGATCGCTGGACCTCGCTTGGAGGCATTATGCTTAGTATCACAGGTAAAGAAACTGATCAAATATATATCATCTTCTTCATCTTATTACCCTATTTATTGTTCATTTTTCTTGTTATGTCTATCATATTTCAGGGATTGAAGCTCTCTTTGCGGATCTATCTCATTTTCCAGTCTCAGCTGTGCAATTCGCTTTTACTGTAATTGTCTTTCCTTGCCTCCTTTTGGCGTATAGCGGACAAGCTGCATACCTTAGAAAGTACCCGCACCATGTGGAAGACGCGTTTTATCAATCCATTCCAAGTTTGTCATATCTGTTATCAATTTTCATTCTATCAAG